AGTGTAATAATAATAATAATAATAATAATAATAATAATAATAAGAATAACAACAACAACAACAACAATAATAATGATAATGCTGATGGTCATAAGAATAATGATGAAAATAATGTAGCTCTTTTAAATATACAATATAAATAACAAGTTAATGGACTGTAGTGTTTTGCTCTTGTTTTTTCGGTCACAGCATTGCATTTAACTTACAGGTTAAGGTATGGATAGCCTCGAAGTAATTGAATAATTAAATAGAATATTTGTAATTAGTATGAAAGTAGTTGTACTTTATGTATGAGTGAGTGAAGTGTAATTATAACAAAGAGAGTGCAAGTATGTGTATATGTATATAGATAAATGTATATATAATTATATGGAAATATGTCGGTTATTCTTGTAGACACCCCAAAAACTGTGTAAAAGCAACGATAATAAAAAATATATTAGAGAATAATTTATTTTAATGTTATATAAAAGTTATGTCGTAACGCGAATTGCGACATATCGTTATTGGTACCTTTATTGACTAAAAATTGACAACAGTTTGACAACAATGTTTATTAAAAATGTAAAGTACAAGTGAAAGAAGTTAAAACGCGGACAATGCTTCAATAGTTTTTTTCCCCCTTTTTCGACCACATGGAGTGTCTTCAAAAATATTTAGAATCGGTGAATAGCGTTTAAATCGATAACAGCATCACAGCTACGAAAGAGTCTCGTTTTTCAAGCTCTGCCATGGCTTTTTCGCTGATGCAACCGATCGGCATAGGACGATTGGTCGACTAAAACTTAGCACAGCCTGTTCGGTGCGACGAAAATTGAGCAGAACATTGTGAACAAGAAACGGCGATCGAATTGATTCTATCTTTTTCTTTTGATACATCGTGACTGTAACTTTCTTTCTTTCTCAAGCACACATCCTAATACATTACTTTTAGAGCTGATTCTCGATTAAAAAAAGATCAATACACGCGACATATAGATATCTTCTTTTTTTCTTTTTTTTTTTAGAAATTACAACTCTTTTTTTATAGTTTGTTTATCGGTCAATTTCAGCTCCAAAATTCTGAACCGCGACGCAGGCTTAGATATACATGATTTCGAGGAGCCAGTCGACATATGACGGCCAAAAAATGCAAGAATATATTGTTAAATAATACTTCTGCAACTACTACGGTGGAGCAAACCTCCTAATGATAAAACCTAGAACATTGCGGTCATGTAACTTTAAGGATGCCGGACAAAATTGGTTTGAGGCAGTCTATCGTCTTCCCAAAAGATTTGACTCCTTTTCGGGCCAGTAAATCTCACCTATCTTGCGGTACGCGTACCAAACGTAATACTTTGCTTTCCTGTAAACCACCAGAGTAATTTGACATTTACATAAATCAGTGAAAGGTAGATGAAAAATGTGGAAGAGCTTACATGATACTCTAATTCGGTTTCCATGATACCGGTAACAGCAACGACTTGGTATTGTCTTGCTTTCATCGCTGCAATCGATTTCCGCACCAAACGCATTGCACCGAGTGCACTACTTGTACTATTAAACTGTGCCATTTGTGCTGGACTATGGCTTGGATCGAGTACTAACATGGTTATTGAACCGTCCCTTAATTGTTCTACTCCTATTATCGTTCTACTATGACCTACGAGTATGAAAATAATTTTTTAGCCTTATTCTCACATTTTTATTCGTTATCAAATATCTACCTTGATGCTGCAAATAAAGAGGTGGCTTAAAATCATCGCACCGCTGGAAGTATTGTAAAACCCAATTAAACATTTCTGGATGTCCACCGTCGGCATTAGTTGGTGTATAAAAATCTACCAGCTGACACCTGCGATAAAAAAGAAGAACTGTGACGATACGATTGTGGAGAAGACGGATAGAAATTGCGAAACGTACTTTATTCTCAAACTAGACAATAGTATGACTACTTCTGTGGGGCCAATCCATTTCCTAGTATTCACCAATTTTCCTCCTAACTGTTCCGCTCCTTGAGTATCAAAACCTTGGGCCCAAGCCCACTCTATCATCCTCTGGAGTCTAGAGATCGACGGTATAGAACTTCGGAGCGGATTCTTGGTAGAACTACCGCTACCCAAGCCAGAATTCCACGCTTTATATACTAACTCATTGTACCCTGTATGTTGTAAAAGTGACGAAATTAACATTTGCAAATTTCTATAACCACATCCCCATCCTTTGTCTCCATAAGTAGTGGCATAATGGTCTACCGTAGAACACATCCAGGTGCTCAATACGTTACTACATGCTTGACTAACAGCTCGTATCTTGGGAACTAGTCCTGTAAAAAATGAAGAAAGTTAGACGAAAGGTGATACAGGCGAATACGTCGAAAAAAAAAAAACTGATTACCACGTGTACAAGAGTTGCCGTCGTCAATGCCGCTACTCTCGGCCACTCTGAGCTCGCTCTGTCTTTCATAATAATCAGCAATTGTCATTTCACCGGAATATACAGCCCGCTGCATATTAGTGACACTCTGTTCTCTAAAATTCCCTTGATTGTCCATGCCATACTGGGCCCTTAACAACTCAAATTCACGCTGCTCGCGCAATTTTCTAAGTTCTTTCTCAAGTCTTTCCATATCCTTTGCTAACATTCTGTCAGTGGATAAATCTGGAGTAATAGGGGATGGAGTACACTTTTTACTAAAGTGTTCTTCAATGTGTGCAGCTAACTCGTCACTGCTTTTAAACGAAGTACTAAAACAGACTGGACATGCTGGTGTATCTCCAGCAATAGTTGCTTGAGCTGACTGGGCAGCTGCACCATTTGCAGGGCTATGTGAAAAGAATAAAATAAGCAATAATATCTATCGTTGCCCGGTGTACTATACGCAAATTCGATCTTACCTCAAGATGTCTTTGTGCTCAATGTTGACATGTAATTCAAGATCAGAAGAATTTGGAAAAGATGTGATACACAGAGGACAGTTAAAGGCACCATCTCGAGCCGGTGGAGATTCAGGTGGAAAGGACGGCGAAGTGAGATCAAAATGTTGTCTATTGATATGTTCCTCTAGCCTTAACGGACTGTCAGAACTGTAGGGACACATAGGACACTCTTGAACTGGAAGTTTTGGTGAAGCATGACAACGTAGTTGTAAATTTAGGCCTGAACGCAGTGGAGATCCATGACCAGCTGCACCTTCTATAACTAAAAGGATATCTTTGTTTATTACATGTCCTTCTGGACCGATGTTAGGACCGATGTTTGATTAAATTTCTCAGTACCGTTATTCACACTTCCAATGTTATTATTGTTATTATTATTATTCACATTAGCACTAGACATTTGTGGCTCTGATTTTGGTAATTCTTGCTGCTGCTTAGCACGAGGACTAAAAGAACTGCTCCAACCATTCTGAAGCAGAGGAGGACTTGGAGACATGGTTGGAGAAGGACATGGACCACGGCATTCGTCGTGTCTTCTGTCATCCACCAGTGAATCATCGTCAATAAATGCCATCATGTCATTTTCTGGGGTGCTGCAATAATTAATACAAGCAAATGTTACTGTACACGAATGATTTAATGGTTCTACATGTGTACAAATACAAAAAATGTTCAATACTTTTTATAATCAAGGTTCAGTGTACATTCTGCTTTTCTTTTACGACCTTTTATCATATTCCATGTAATTAATTTCAACTGCCTACCGCATTAATCGTGTGCTTCATAAATAACAACTTGGTAACAATAGTGAAAACAAACATGAATTACACTATACGAAGAAAAACGTCAGAAAACATAAACACATTCACGTCACTTTTATTCATTTCACTTTCGACTGATTCATACACTTAAACAATTATGAAATAAAGGAATAAATTTGAGAAAAAAAAAGGAAAAAATAAGAATCTTTCTTTCAAGATTCACAGACTTTGTATGATATATGTTGGCGACATCTAAGTCACGTTTTGCCGCCATTTTCCTCGCCATCAAAATGATTTAAATAGCTCATAATGTATTCAGGCGATACTTGCAATTATATAATTAGAAAAGATATACCTCGGTGTCAAATAGTCGAGATGAGCACTGTTGACGTGTGTCAACATTTCTGTCGGCGAAATTTCCCCTAAATCGCAAAACGGGCAGTTTGCGGCTCCACGGAGGTGACAAAATACCATATGAGATCTCATCTCTTCGTCGTTGAAACCCTCCAGGCCGCAAATTTCGCACGTGTAATTCATTTCCGGTGGTTTGGCCGCCATTTTTCTTACATGCAATCAACACTTACTGACCTATAATAAAACAAACGAAAATGCAAATTACTGCACTTTGCATTCGTCTACATCACTCCAGCGAAATTCTACTCGGCACGCGTCCAACGTGTCGTCTACCAAAGAACAGAACCCACTGAAACATGTCGAAACGTTGAATAACAAATCAACCTTTGAACGATGCGTCTAACCCTCCTCGATAATTGCATATTTTCATTGAAACACAGCACACCGTTACCCTCGCGAAGGAAACCCCTCTTAACAAGTGCATTAGTTTAGATAAAAGAAACTCGCGGCGGTGCACGAGAAATGCACCGTCGGAGTATTTTCCTCGGTGAATCGATAATTGAATTCAGGGTCGCATACAAGTGTCCGCGATCGCACCGTAGTTATCCGTTAGGCTTCTCGCGAACGCATGTTTATCCACTAAGGCGACACACCGCGAGGAGACGTAGATACCGTAACACGAGCAAAATGCACAAAGAATACTCGTTTCCTCGTGCATTGTGCAGTTGATTTACTGCTATAAACCTGCTCATCCGTGATGCAACGATTTCCACGAATGGAAGACACGACGACGACGACGACGACGAAGGTTCTAACGTTCGACGTTGGGTTTCCGCGTGTTACGAGGAAATGCAAGCGCGACCTCTCACCTCTCCGTTTCCCCTTATCACCTGTGCGTGTATGTGTGTTTATCACCTGACTACCGTGTGGCCGCGTGTTAATCAATGCATTTCCGTGGTTCCCATAACTTTTCTTTCTCAATACGAACAGAGAAAGAGAGAGAGAGTGAGAGAGCGGCGGAATCAAAGGTGAAGAGTGCACACACTTTCGATATCGTTTTTTCCACGAGGAAGGGGTCGCGTGTCTTTTGACTCGGTCTCGCTCTCGAGGAAACTAGGCCAGTCAGTGAATCGCAGAAAAGAAACGGGTACACGTTAGGTTGCTGGGTTGGGTTGACCCATTTTAGAGGCAAAGCGGTAACGCGTGTAGCACCCTTTCCACTCGTCCTTAACCAAACGCCAACTTCCAACGTACCGTACTGTCACACTCACCAAATTAAGATTGACAATCTCTTTTTACACTTGCTTCTTTTTTCTTTTACTTCCACACTACGTTTTCTTCTTCTTCTTTATCACTGTGAGAAGCAGAGTGTGAGTGACTGAGTGAGTGAGAGAGAGAGAGAGAAAGAGTGAAGAGAGAGTAAAGGCGTCCGTGCAGGCCCAAGTGCCTAACACGGCGCCTCGTTTGCCTCCATATGAAAGCGCCAATCCACCCCGACACTTTCGCGGAAAGAATTTCTTGTTCCGCCACCCCACCGTGTCGATCCTCCGCCTCTCGTCTCTCTGTCGAGGGTTCTGCTTCTATAGCGAACCTCGCCGAAGGCGCCACCCTCGATAGCTCGCACGCGGTCGGTAGTAAAGTTTACTAGAGGGGGGAGCTTTACGTAACTTTTCATCCCTTAAATTATCATTTCATTTCATTTGCAACTTTTCTTTATCCAAGATGATTCAAATTTCATTCGTGAATAGTTCGTATCGTCGTACGATTATTTAACGAGGACGAATTTCTACGTAAATTTTTATTTCATTCGAGTAACTGTAACAGGACTTCCGGTTTGTTTTTTATAACATTCGCGGGGTTGAAAGAAGGTCGAATTGGCGAATACTAGGCAGAATTTAGTTAGAAGAGAATTTTCGCGAGAACAAATAGCACATATATCAGGTTACGATGACAATGCGCTCAATGGAGGCACCTTTAGCGCGCAGACTCGAGATATTTGAATCTTATTTATGATACCCGGCATATGTTTCCGGGTTACTGGCTTTTACACGTTGCTAGCTTCGCTGGCTGAGCAAACAGCGTTCGCGAGGGCTATCGAGGAATCGCGATCGTCTAAATCGAGGCTATCGGCAGATCTTGAACGCAAGCCTAACAGCCTATCATCACAGCAACTAACTTTAATAGCCGAGAAATAACTAATATCATCTACGTTCTTTTTTTTTCCCCCGCCGCATTTCAGCTGATTGACCTTTCGAAGAGAAACCTTTTCTTTTAGGCATGACTTCGAGGAAGTTCTACGGTATAGTGATTTTTCGAAGCGCACTTATCGCCGCCTCGCTGCGTTCCAATTTCTCTCATTGTATTCCTATTGTCCCTCTACGACCAAGTTTTCCATAATGACAAGCCGGCGAACAGCAAAAACGATCCAAGTACTGTATTATCGAAATTGCAAATTGCATCTACACGAGCCATTCCCTTCGCTAGATTAAGACATCTAATCGATCCTTCGTTTGTATGCGAAGGAGGGAAAATGGTGGATAAAGGACGGGTGTTACGTTTC